CGCCCAGGACGCCATTTTACCTCTGCCCTGCTCCCATTGACCGAAAGGGGAAGGGGTGCCTGTGTGTATAATGCGTAGGGGTGTGTGTGTGTGTGTGTGTGTGTGTGTGTAGGCGAGTGTAGACGTGGCCGGGTCTCCCTCCTTCAGGTGTGGAAGAAAGAGAGCTGGCCAGTCTCTCCGCCTGACTAAAAGCTTTGGGCTTGAGCAATAAATAACTTGGCCAAAGTCTTCCTCCTCTGCCTCCCTTGAAGGGTCGCCCCTCCACTGGGCTCTTCCTGGGAGAAGAGATGCTGAAATTCCAGGAGAGGAGAGACTCAAACCCAAGCCTCAGTCTGCGACTGCCCCCACACTGCAGAAATGGCTCCAGAGCGGAGCAAAGCACATGTTATATATGTGTACACACAACAAACTACAAGTCGCAGAATTCCATAGCACTGAGCCATGGCAGTTCAAGCGGTGTCAAGCCGAATCATTTCTGTAGTGTGGGCGATGGATTAGGACCATTCGGTTGTCTGCAGAGGAAGGGAGCCGGGGGGTGTCGAGACTGGACTGGGAGAGAGAAAGAGGCACTGGAGACCCAGGGTGACGCGATGTCCTCGCCGCAAAGGAGGACCAGGCAGCACAAAATGGCGGACACTCCAGAAAAATGGAGGACATGACCTAAACAAAAGCAAATAACACTTCCATAAATATAAATGCATGCTTCTTAGTGGGAATTCCTCCTGGAAAAGAGGTTGAAATGTAGGACATGTCCTGGAAAAGGAGGACCTCTGGCCACCCTGTGGAGATCTCCCTCGACCAAGGAAGGGGTGAGACCTTAATGCTGAACCACGCGGTGCTAGTGGTAGTGGTGTGCCTTCAAGTCGTTTCCGACTTATGGCGACCCTATCCTGGACTTTCCTAGCCAAGTTTCTGAAGAAGAGGTTTGCCAGGGACATCCTCTGAGGCTGAGAGAGTGTGACTTGCTCAGGGTCAGGCCGATCCTAGCTAAAGCCTCTCCACTTCACGATTTTGGTGTTTTTATCTGTCCCTTAGCACCTGAAAGGAATTGGCGCACAGCCTGAGGAGACCTTAAAGAAAGGCGATGTCTTCCCATCCCCGGATCCCTAGACAGACAAGGGGGGGCTGCAGACTGCCAGAAATAGTGCAAATTGAGTCCACTTTTAGGGTTAGGGTTAGTGCTAGGAAATCATGGGGACTGTAGTTTATTGTGGCACCAGAGCTCTCTGACAGAGAAGGCTCAATGTCTCAGAAAAGAAATTCCCATGATTCCCTAGCACTAACCCTAACCCTTAAAGTGGACTCAATTTGCACTATTTCTGGCAGTCTGCAACCCCCCATGGACACTTTTCGGCTCAGTCGCCTTTTCTTCCAAAAGGTCTTTTCGCAGGAATTCAATGGGGCTGAGGCCTTCCCTTTCCAAAGCAAACAAACAAACAAACAACCCTGAGCTCATGCCTTGGAGTGGAAATTTCTGCCTGTCACCCATAAATCTCTTCGGCTTTCAAAGGTACCACTTGGGCTGCATCCACACTGCAGAAATAATCCGGGTTGAGACCGCTTAAAATGCCAGGGCTCCATGCTATGGCATTCTGGGAATGGTAGTTTGTTGTGGCACCAGAGCTCCGCTACCATTCCCAGAATGCCATAGCATGGAGCCCTGGCAGTTTAAGCGGTCTCAAACCGGATTATTTCTGCAGTGTGGATGGACTCTTGGTTGTTTTTATTGCCGCCGTGTTCAAGGTGATTTGTCTCGAGCTACTACTGGTGGGTTGAAAGCTGAGCGATCAGAACTGGTGTGTGTGTGTGTTGTGTGTGTTGTGTGTTATGTGTGTGTGTGTTTGGGAATACTCTGAAAGGGGATGGAAGGATAAATTCTCCTTGGCCTTGCAGAGGAAGGCAGTGTTAGTGGCAGGTGCTTTAATCCCTTCCCCTTCGGTATCAGCTTTCCTCTGCCTTGGGAGGTGTGTGTTTGTGTGTCAAGGAAATGCAGGTCCAGTTTCTGGCTTTCAGGCCCTTTATCTTCACACACACACACACACACAC